GAGAGCATACATTAAAACCATAAACTCAAAGAAGAAAAACAGATCACTTGTGACATCACAGGGAAATCTGGATAGATGCAAAGCAATGTAGTATGAAAAGCTGAAGATATTCCAAAACATCTGACTCCAATGAATCAGCCTTCTGATCCAAAGGGCATCTTAAGAGGTTTCCTCATTATACTTCCAAACATACTGAACTTATCATTGACCAGGGATATTCTTCACACTTACCTTGGAGAATGCCTCCCTGTACTGTCCTAAACTCTTCTTCCAACCAAGAGATCAGACTGGGTTTGAAAAGCTGGTAACCTGTACCCAGGGAAAGAAACATCACTGGAAGCAGTTCATGCAATAGATGGCAAACTTTCCCATGAAATGGGGCTACATTTATAAGTAAAGCAGTGAAAAGTGCTCAAAATGCAAATATCCCTTTTTTCTGTAATCAAAAGAGACTGGTTCTCTCTTACTGCTGAAACCCGTATTCAGGCTTAAATATACATTTAAAAAAAGAAAAACCACCATAAGACTTTTACTCAAGTAGAAAATAATGGAAGTGCAAAGAGAGATCTTAATGCTCCTGAGAAAACGACCACACCATTGATTCTCAACTTTAGAATGAATCAGAGTCATGTGGAAGGCTCGTTAAAACAGACAAGGCCCTCCAAAAGCGGACTTTTTATTCAGTATATCAAAGGTGGATTCTGAGAATGCACATTTCTAATAGAGTGACAGTGATACTATTGTTCCTAGGGCCACATTTGAAAACTACCACGCCAGATGAAAACCCACCGAGATACAGGGACTGTGTCTCTGTTATTTTCCATTGTGTTCAGGTTTGACATCATTGATCCTGGAACACAGTAAGTACATCATGTATATCTGTTCTGTAGGCAGCTACGAGGAATGACGCCGGTCTTACCTACTGAGGATAGGTTGTTGTAGTTCTCCAGCATCACATCTCCGTACAGCTTTCTCTGAGTTGGGTCCAGTAAAGCCCACTCCTCCTGCGTGAACTCCACAGCCACACTATCAAAGGTTACCAGGTCCTAAATCATCATATGCATGCAGGTTTGAGCCAAGTAACATCTCCAGCAGTGTTCACTGGACAACGAGGAATGGGGACCCAGTGCCTATACAGGGTACTGAAGGGCACTTCTTACACTTAAAAGAGTGAAAAGCATTCCAAATGCAAATCTGGATTAGCTCCCACTGTCTAGCCAAGGGTTCAATCGTCTTAGGAACTCTTCCATCCACACTCCGTCACTGTCAGTCTCCTCTAATAACATGGCTATAGGAGCATCTCTTACATATGAACTAATCTCACCACAACTGGACTGGGAGCTTGTCTTGTTTTAACCCTCTCCACTGCAATACACTCCTGAGCACATGACAAACACCTGATAAATGCCCATTATAAATAAGTTCTTTAAGAAAAGGACACATTCAGGTTCCATACCATGTGTCACAGCACCCAGAGAAATAAATATGCAGTCTGTACCAGGAAAATTAAGATTAATTCACACTAAAATACTGAGATAATTTTCAGAGTTATTCCTCACAAATATAAGAGGTATGACTTCTGGGGAAAATTCCGTTAGGGTCTTTATTTGCCTTAAGGGGCTCTGGAAACAGGTCTACTGACAAGAAAAATGTGGCCTGTTGGTCAGTATAATTACGCCATTATTTAGAAGGATACAAGTTTCACACTAAGTCTGGATATCCCTAAATTCATCACTCTCGCAGTATCTCTCCACAGACATTGCTCCCTCTTGTGTGAAAACTGTTTCCGTCAAGTGTCTCTTCTGTGCTTATTTTCTATCATGGAAGTCCTCATATTCTCTGAGTGTGGAAAATAAGAAATGTCCTTTGTTAATCTTACCGTTTGTATCCCATTAGAAGTCTGTACCATCCAAAAATCCTGCTGCAGTGCTGAAACATTGGTCTGAAGTAGTATTTCCCAGTCTGAAATTAAACAAAAAAACAAATTGAGGTTTGTAGAAGGAAATGGCAAAGTGAAGGAGTTAAGTCTCATTTGTATTTGTTTTTTAAATAAATGTGGTTAAAAAAAAAAACTAGGTTTGAGGATTTAGACTATGTCAAAAATTTCACAATGATAAGGATGAAGGGTCAAAATTTTAGCTAATTTGTTACAAATTGATTTTTTGAAATTTAAAACTGATTGTAAACAGAAAGAATCTTATCAGAAAAGGAAAGTAAGAAAGATCTGTAGCAAGAGCACAGTTTAAAACAATGAACGCTGAAAACAAAGTATGTCATTTCGTAAGATCACAGAAAGCTGGAATAGATGGAAATTTAAAGAACATCAGAAATTAAACATATCCTAATGTCTGAGAAACATGGCCTCAACCTTCTGAGATGAAGTGCATCTTAAAAGGTTCCTCATTATGTTTCCAAACATACTGAACTTTTCACTGACGTGGGTTTTTCTTTGTGTCACTCACCTTGGAGAACTCCTCCCTGAACTGTCCTCAACTCTTCTTTTTGTTCCAGACAAGAGATCAGACTGGGTTTGATAAACTGACATCCTTTACATGAAGAAAGATACATTAATGGAAAAGGCTCACACAGTAGATGATAAACCTGCCTATCATTCAGGAACTATAGTTCTAATAAAAGCAGTAAAATTATTTCAAAAGACTAAAAATGCAAATATCACTTCATTCTGTGCACCCCAAACTGGTTATCTCTGACCCCTGAAACCCAGATTGATGCTATGTACATATTTACAAAGCACTAACATTTTAAACACATAAGAAATAAAGTAAGTGAAACAAAGCGATCTTTGTTCACATGGGGAAAAAAACTACACCAGAGATTCTTAAATATTACAGTGCATCAGATTCTTGTGGAGGGATAGTTAAAACACAGAAAACAGAGTCCAAGTGAGAGCTTCTGATTCCGTAGGTCAAAGGTGGAGACTAAGAATGTACATTTCTAAGAAAGTAACGGTGATGCCGTTAATATGGGACTACATTTTGAGGATCACAACAGTAATTAAAATCCGTTAGGGCAGGGACTGTATCTGTGTTATTTCCCATTGTATTCAGAATTCCTATCGCTGATCCTGCAACACTGTAAATATGTAACATAATTTGTTCCATAGCAGGCTACAAGGAATGATGTCAGTCTTACCTACTGTGGCCAGGTTCTTATAGTTCTCCAGCATCACATCTCTGTATAGAATTTTCTGAGTTTTATCTAATAAAACCCACTCTTCTTGGGTGAAGTCCAGAGCCACATCATCAAAGGTTACTGAGTCCTAAATCATCACATACATGCTGGCTTGAGCCAAGAAACATATCAAGCAATGTTCGCTGAACAATGAGGTAACAGAACCCAATGCCTACACAGAGTTGTAAGGTCTCTCATTGTCCGCCCAAGGTTCACTGGTCCCAGGTATCCTCCTCTCTATACCCACTCACTCATGGTTCATAACTCCAGTCACGTGGCTTTAATGACACATCTCAAACATGAAATTATCTCAGCACAGCCAGACTGCGAGCACTTTTGTCTTATCTTCCTCTATTAAAGTTCACTCCAGAGCACAGTGTGTACACTTGATAAATGGTGATCAATGATAAGTCTTTGAGTAAAGGATACTTTCATCTTCCTTATCATCTGACAGAGCACTTAGCAAAATAAGAAACATATATTCAGCACCATGAGGGACAAGAGTAATTAGTAATTACTGAAATGTTTTTCAAGGTAATCCTTTACCAGTATGAGCACCTCTGCTCTCTGGAAAAATTCAGTGAATGACTCAGTCCTTGAGTGACTCCGTTTACTTTAAGAAGCTCTGGAAACAAGCCTGCCTAGAAGGAAAAGTGTCTACCTGGTGATGCAAGGATGTGGTTTTCTGGAAGGATACACTTTCTGCATACCTGATAACAATTTGTCAGGCAGTCAACCATCTTCCTTTCTGCCTCTGTCTTTTCTTCATGAAGGCAGGCTGGGTCCCTAGAAAGAAGACCTCCTGGAAAAGAAAGAAGGCATGAGAATCCAGAGTTGACCATGACCCCCACATTCACATGCATGGAATTCATTCCCTCCCAGTGTGAAATTCCCGTATAATCCAGCACACTTAGGAAAAAACACACACACACGTCCATATGATACCACTGCAGCTGTCTCGCCTAGAGCCAGAAAAAAGGGCTGTGAGCTAGGTTGCCAGTAAGGAAAAGCGTAATATCCTCATTGTACAGGTAAGGAAACTTAAGGCCTGAGAAATGTGGTTCTTTTCTGCCTGTGATGATAGAACGTGATCCGCACAGCCCCCCTTCCCCAACCTAGGTTGAGGGCCCAGAAAAGAGCCTCTTCACAAAGGCATTCAGAAATAGGTAACTGATCTTCAAAGGAAACAAGAAAAACAAACAACGAAACAGATAACTGAAGGGAGTACCTCCATCTTTGAAAAGTTCCACGTTTATTCTCCTTTATACACCTGGTATGACTACGGGGGATAAAATCACTCAGATTAGTTCCTTAATTTCAATGAGGATGACGAGAACCCTGGTACCAAAAATCAGTGAGTAGCACTAAACCATCAAAGACAATGAGGTCACATCAAATGTCAAGGGCACACTGAATGTATCGATAATCAGAATGCTTTGGCCTGAATAAATCACTGGTGGTGGCAAACTGAGCTCAGTGTCCCTAGAATGAAACAGACAAGCAGCCTACTAGAGCAGGGATTAGCAAATCTTGCTGTAAAGGCATATATAGTAAATATTAGGCTTTGGGGGCCAGACGGTCTGTGTTGCAAATACTCAACTCTGCCCGTGTAGTATGAAAGAAGCCATAGAAAATATGTAAACAAGTGAACATGGTCTTGCTCCAGTAATTCTTTAGTTACAATAGTAGGTTTAAGGCTAGATGTGTCCCATGGACCACAGTTTGCCGACCTGTATCCTGGAATATTACTTGATCTACGAAACAAGGAGTCTCAAATCTAGTAGCCAAAAACCTGATATAAATCGTCACAGAGGAGAGATTTACAGCCTCTCACTCAATTTCCTAATCATTTAGGATTGTGCAGAAGTCATGGATCTTGGAGAATTACTGTGGACTCTCACAAACTTACATCAGTTCTCCTGTTCTCTATCAAAATAGAGTCTTCAGAGGTTTTGATATTGTACAAAACGTCACAATGGTCCACCACATTGATAACATTTTGCATGCTGGATCCCATGAATAGGAAATAGCAAATGGTTTGGGTACCTTTATAAGACACATACAAACAAAGCAGAGGATGGGCAACTCAAGGGCAAACCAAATCAACGAAGTTTCTGGGGGTCCAGTGGCCTAAACCATATGAAGACATCCCTCCAAGGTGTCACTCCTAGCCACTGCACCTCATACCACCTGCTCCCAAAACGAGACACAACACTTGGCAGACCTGTAAGATTCTTTAGGCAACATATACCACATTTCAGAGTGCTTTAACTCATCCTCAGAGATGCCTGTGATGTTTAAAGTGAGCGGACACCAAGTGAGTGCAGCGCACCAACCTCAGGCTGCAGTACAAGCTTCTCAAGCACTTAGTCTGAATCAACCAGCAGACACAATGATGCTCAAAGTATCCGTGGTAAATAGGATGTTGCTGGAAGCCTCTGGCAAGCACCAACAGGAGAATCATAGCACAGACCTCTAGTAGTTTGGAGTAAATCCATGCCCTCTTCTGTAGGAAACTACTTTCCTTTTGAGTGAAAGGTTACCAATAGTATGTCACAGAGACTGAACAACTAACCATGGGACATCCAGTGACCACATGGATTAAGCTCCCCATCATGAACTTGATGTTGTCTAACCCACCAAGCCATAAGTTTGGGCAAATGGAGCGGCTATCTATCATCAAATGGAAATGGCACAGAAGACACTGAGCTCTAGAAGCTGCAGTGAGTACTAGTAAACCACATGGGCAAATGGCAAAGACTCTTTCAACACAAGCTCCATTCACACTGCATCCGCTTCCTCAACCCATGCCCACGGCTTATTGCCCATCTAACTGGAACAAAGCCCGGTTTACAGATGTGTCTGCATGACATGCTGGCATCACTCAAAAGTGGAGAGCAGAAACACAACAGCCCCCATGACTCTGAAAGGCTTGGGCACACAGGAACTGAGGCTGCTGAGCAGGCTCACAGAGGCAGTGTGCAGTGTGGGTGCCACTACAATGGCAGTCTGTGACCCCCAGACTGGTTTTTCCCTACTCTCCAGTCTACTTCCCACCACTCCCTCTGCTCTTCTTCAGCGAACCCCTTTCCTCTGTGTAAGAAATACACGAAGCTCTCAACTGCTCTGGAATTTTGCTCAGAAAGTTCCCAGCATCTAAAATGTTCTCACTTACTCTACACCTCACCCTAGCTTAAAGATCTGGCTAGCTAAATCCCACTCATGCTTTCATTCTCTTAAATATCTTAAAATCAATTCTTCCCATTATGTCTTTCCCCCTCTTAGTAATTCATTCTGATGGTCACATAGCAAATTGCCAATATTCATTTAAAATATGTCTTCCCTTACAGACTATAAGTCCCATGGTGGCAGTACTATGCCTGTTTTGATGGTTCTTAGTAACCTGTCCCTGGCAGAAAGCCTAGTTCATTAAAGGACTGGAAAGATCGTTTGTGGATTATCAGACAATTTCCATTCCCACAAAAATGCAACAGTATATCTAAGCACAAGTAGAAGGCACACAGAAATAGAATTCACAACACAATTAAATAACACCCATATAAAATGTCTGCCCATATATGATATAAACCAAAACACTATACTTCTGAAAATACATGTGAATATTCTTACCATGAATATGGATAATATATTAATATTCTTTTTGAAAACAAGTGTCTTTCAGTTCAAACTAAACTCTGTTTCTTATTTTTCATCAGAATAATTTGTAAACTTTACAAGTCCATTTGGAAACTACCAAATAGTACAAGACCTATGGAAGGGAATTTACAACAACTGGAAAAATTAAATGTACATTTGCACTCTAATCTGACGTTCAACCTTAAAAGCTTACCCTGAAAGCACACCTAAAAAAGTGTGAAAGTACATATAAAAAAGTTAATTCACTGCAGGCTACTCACAGAAGCTAAAATAGTTGGTAGAAAGATTGATGGGGAATAAGATATTCTGGGTGCCAAAATATCAACACACATATTACTTTTTTTTTTTAAATTCACAAGAGACAGGTAATGGGCAAGGTCGTAAGAGGATTTGAGGGAGGCACATCTCCCAATTGAGCATGAAAACCCAATCATCATCCTCATTTGTTTGAGCAAAAAAAAAAAAAAACCCCAATCATCCAATCACCACACTTAAAAACCACAAAAGGATGCCATATATTACTTTCCTACTCAACAGGAAAAGTCTATCTTTAAAATAAGAGCGTTCTGATGATCCCGACCTTAACCAAATATCAAACTTAGCATCATTAACAAAGCAACAATTTAAATTTGTCTTCCTGATGAAATGTAATTCAAAATACACAAAATTACCTACAACATATTTCGCAAATGATCTCTTGAAGCCTCTGGTTCAGGGGTTGGCAAACTATGGCCTGTTTTGGTAATGTTTTACCGGAACAAAGCTATGCCCATCTGTTTACTATGGTCTGTGGCTGCTTGCCCACTACAAAGACAAAGGTGAGTAATTCAAGATCTTATGGCCGGATAGAATCAAGTACTTGCTCTCTGGCCCTTTCCAAAGAGTTTTCCAACCTCTAATTTGGACCCACTTATCAGTTTACGGGAAATACAAGAAATGAAGGAAACCTTTAAACACATGAGAGGCCAGGCATAGTGGCTCATGGCCTGTAATCCCTAAGCAATTTGGGAGGCCAAGGTGAGAGGATCGCTTGAGGCTAGGAGTTCAAGACTAGTCTGGGCAACATAGGCCAACCCTGTTTCCACAAAAAATATTTTTAAAAAGTAGCCAGGCATGGCAGCCCTGTAGTCCCAGCTACTAGGGAGCCTGAGACAGGAGGAACACTTGAGCCCAGGAGTTCAAGGCTGCAGTGAGCTTTGATCAAGCTACTGTACTCTAGCCTGGGCTACAGAGTGAGATGCTGTGTCTAAAAAACAAAATAAAATAAATACGAGGCCGGGCGCAGTGGCTGACACCTGTAATCCTACCACTCTGGGAGGCCAGGGTGGGAGGATCGCTTGAGGTCAGGAGTTTAGACCATTCTGAGCAAGAGCGAGACTCCATCTCTACTAAAAATAGAAAAAATAAGCCAGGCATGGTGGCATGCATCTGTAGTCCCAGCTACTAGGGAGGCTGGGGAGGAGGATTGCTTGAGTTCAGGAGTTTGAGGTTGAAGTGAGCTAGGCTGATGCCATGGCACTCTAGTCCAGGCAAGAGAGTGAGACTCTGTCTCAAAAAAAAAAAAAAAAAAAAAGAGACAATATCTCACTCTGTCGCCCAGAGTGAGAGTGTAGTGGCACAATCATAGCTTACTGCAGCCTCAAACTGCTGGACTCAAGCCATCCTGCAGCTTCAGCCTCCAAAGTAGCTGGGCCTACAGGCATGCACCACCCTTCCCAGCTTCAGTGTGTGCCTTTCTAAAAGAGTGTATGACTTTTAAAAAAGTCAACATAATGGAGAAACAATAGCAACTATTCTAGGTTAAAAGGAATTAAAAAGATAAACAACAGCAATAGAAAAGATCTCAGACCCAAATATACCAAATATAAAAAGTTATATTTAAGAACAATTTCCCAGCCTGAGCAAGGGCGAGACCCCATCTCTACTCTAAGTAGAAAGAAATTAGCCAAACAACTAAAAATAGAAAAATTAGCCAGGCGCGGTGGCACATACCTATAGTCCCAGCTACCCAGGAGGCTGAGGCA